CCTCCCAGGTTAAATTTGTTGCTATTTCTAGTATCTTAGGCTTTACTGAATAACACACGCTGATGCATGGAAAATTAAATATTGTATTTCCGACAGTGATAAGACATTGCTTTCATACAAATTACTCATATGCTGATTAAAATTGAGAGATAAATATCTTACATTTTTCCGAAAAGCAACAATGTTGCCTCTGCTCATTTCCACATCATTGGTTTTGGCTAAGAAACATTACTGATATATTGGCTAAGAAAATAACTTTTATAATGCAAGGCATTAATTCACCGTGTTCTTTTCATATGACTAAATTCAGGGTTCAAAGGGTCCTTAGGTTTTTTTTTTTTTTTTTTGAATCGATTTTTGATTCTTAATTTCAGCCAAAATTGACAGAATGTCCTTAATTTTAATCAACTAAAATTTCTGTCTGTTTTTACGACTCATTTTTAGTGTGAATTAGCATTTTGGAGGCATTTTTTTGGTGATTCACGGACAAATATGGTTATTATTTGAAGGATTCATGGGTTATAATTTTTTCCTATTTCTAATATAAAATGGTCAGCTACTCTAGTTTCTGAGCAAGAAGTGCAAATAAGCATTCTAAAATTATTTAGATTTTTTCTAATGAAGAGCTCTTAAGCAGCTTTTCACTTTTGGAGATGTGAATTCTTTGATTAAATGGTTCTAAATTTGGTGGTTTATCGACATTTTGGTGATTTTAAGAACAGTTTCTACAGAAAATTTTTAATCTCGAGGTATGGGAATTCTTCGATGATTTTTTTTTCAAACATTGTAAAATTGATCAATTTTATTAAAATAATGGTAAGAAATTGAAATTTTATAAAAGAAATAACATTAAATTAAAACATTTTTATTTTTAGCTGTCATATTATAAAGTTCCATTCTGGCCACTTATTATACAATATTTTGAATTTGAAAAATAAACAAGGTATAATGCTATAAAGCACAATTTACTCAACAGTTCTTAGTAAAAGCAAAATAGCTATGTAATTATTTAAAATTGTCTTCTTTTTAAGTTTTTCATTCTCAGAATTCTCAGAATCTGCATCAGCTTTCTCTATAAAATTAATTTTCCCTCTGATTTTTCCCCCTAAAATATTTCTGTCTTTTTGCTGTTACAAAATTGGTAGAGGAAATTTTTCTTTAGGATTGTTAGACATTGCAGCTTGGAAAGTGTAGAAGGATTTGAAGGCAAGATTTATAGACCTATGATCTAGAAGATTCCAGAAAAATGTGACAAAATGTAATGGATGTATTTTACAGAAAGTTTGTGGAGAATTTCTTACTTTTTGGAGAACGTCTGGAAGAACAATAAAAATGTAATATTCGAATGTTTTACTTCGTTACTAAGGTCGTATGCCTTTAATTTCCCTACTTTTCACTAGACACAAGCATGGAAAAGTCCCATTTTGAAACTAATAACCCTTTTTGGTATCCTTGTATTTTTCTAGTTTCATCATACAAAATGCACTAGTTTTAACTTGTGTACTGTAGTGATTTTATCTTTTATTGCTTTTCCTTTCTTTTTTCTTACTTTTTGTCAAGAGATTTTATCCGTTATAGAGTTTCATATAAATAGGTAGCATGAATCATTTTAAGAATAAAAGCTAGAGTACATTGTAAAATAAGCAAAAATCAAATTTCCATTAACTCTTCCTATTGCACTTATTTGCTTGGCAATTTTGTATGAAACAGTTTCTCTATAAAGTAATATCTCTCTGTTCGTACTTGTTGCAAATGTTTTAATTGTGAAATGTATTTACTAATCTTCAGACATAGAGAATTTGAAATATCATATATTAACTGGTCATTAGACATAGTTTTAAACTAATTAGTTGTATTTTATATTTTAATATCTTTTTTTATGATGCTTACCCCTGCTTTTCTGATTTTTGCTCAGGTTTTTCATTTTGGATTTTTCATATAATAAATGTATTAGCTGAAAAAAGGTGTCTATAGGATTATCATATTAGTTGATTAACAACATGTCTGTTTTTTCAGTTTTGTAGTTAAAAGATTTAAACAAAAATGCTATTTGCTATGATATGTTTGTCTGTATACTGGCAAGAAAACCCATTCATATGTGACATTTGTTCTTGCTGCTTCTTATGTCGTGAATTTCTCAATTTTTGCATTTCATTCATCATTTTTTTTTACTTCTGTAACTGTTTCAGTATTGTTAGTTTACTTAATGGCTTTTCTTTCTTCAAATGAATTTTGAAACATTTTGCATATTAAAAAGTTTTAGATAGTTTATTATAACAAATTTTGTGCATTTTCTTTTGTTAAATTTGCTTAGGTCATTTTCTTATTGTTTTAATACACACACAGATACATACACACACACACACACACACACACACACACATATATGTATATACACACATATATGTATTTCAAAAATATCTTCTCTTTTAGTTTATAACCAACCTATACAGGCTGAGGTTTTTGGAAGAAGCATGGCTAGAATAAATCCTGAATGGGAAAAGGTTTCAAATTTGCGAAGAACTCGTCGTGGAAAAGGTTTTATATGTAGATTTTGCATGAAAGTATGTCGTGATAATTGCCACCTGCAGCGACATCTTCGTGTTCATACTGGTGAAAGACCTTTTAAATGTGAAATTTGTTTACTAAGTTTCAAGCATAATCAATCACTGAAATATCATATACTTAAAAATCATACGTTAAAATAACAAACATCTTTAAATGAATTAACTTTTTTTTAATATAGTGTGATTCTAAAATATCTGGCAGAAGTGGAAAGGAGACTAAAATAAACAATTTTTTAATGGAATGAATAAGTGGAAATACCATGCAAAGGTAATAGAGGATACAATGTTGAAACGGATGCTATCCACTAACATAGGTTGTCAATTGCTGTGTAGATGTTGAGTAGATTTTGTATTGATTATGTGCATCATTGCATGAATGTGTAGCTTACTGATATGTATTTTAACAAGTGGTCTGCAGACAAATATGAAGCAGTTGCTTAAAGGATGTGTAGAAAATAATTCATGAGTAGACAGCTGCTGAAATGAAAAACATTCAATGTAATTAATGGAGAGCTGTGGTTTCAGGCATCATGTGGGCACGAGAAGATATCACAGAACTATTGCAGTAGGAGGATAATCATGAGAGCTGTTGGTTAAAAGCGAACTAACTGTTTGGAAGGCTTCAAATGAAGAAGTGTATCCATATTATTTGATTATATTATATCCACTTGAACAGCAAAACTTTGTAACTGAACAAGAAATTATGTCTGTTTATAGAATTAAACAGAAAGTATTATCACATAAAACGAAGCAACTTAAACAACTTACATTGAAAGAAATGTTTAATAAAGTAAACAAATAAATATTAAGCTTATTTTTTGTAAATTTTGATACTCTTTAGATCATAATTGTTCTTTATTTCATAAATTACGGTTTAATATTTTTTATTTTAGAATTTCTGCATGCCATCTTATGAGATTTAAACTGATGATCCATAATCCGGAATCGCCGAAGTCCCGACGAGTCCGAATTAATGACTTTTGACTGTATTTAGGTTAGCTTGGTAACCTTAGCACTATTTACGGCCCCACTGAACTGGACCGGACGGATCTGTCCCTTTGCTACCGCAAACTTCATATGCACAATAAAATAATACAATAAAAAACATGATCTATAATAGTTCCAGTGTGTATAATGAAAATTTATTAGCCAGACTATGGTTTGGTATTGGAAATGCATAAGTTTTTGGTAAGGAGAGGAAAGGTTTGATAAGGAAGTGATGTCTTTGCTAATGTGTGAGGATATGTGTGCTGCCACTTGAATTACTATTCGTGGTTGCACTTTTGGGCACCTCTTTGTAAAAAGCTGAATCATTAAAATGTTTTTCTTTTGATTTTTCTTCACTCATCGTTTGTTTATATCTTTCTTAATGCTAACATTTAAAAGGTGTCATTTGTAGCCACGCGTTCCTTTACAAAGTTTGCTTATTTCAGGTCCCTTCTACATTTCTGCCTAATATTTCAGAATCATCGTATATTTTAAGTCTTATTCTGTATGGTGCTTATGTCATGTGTTGTAATTTTTTCTGGAATTTATCTAGTTTTTTTTTTAAATATTCTGTATTTTTTTTTTTTTTTTTAAAGATGAAAATATATCTACACTAAATGATCTGTAACTGATGCTTACTATTTTTCTAATGATAAGAAAGTGTAATCTATCATAATTTTGTTATTAATAATATGTAGCAAATAATTATGGTAAATAATGTGTAACAGATATAGAAGTGGTTATTAAATTGTATTTTGTATTCTGTCTTTCTTTTCTTAAGAATTTCTTTTTGTTTTTTGTGTTCAGTGGTTTGTTATTTCTGCATCTTTAAAAATTTTTTGGTGATGTATTTCTGGTGTTGATATTAAAAAGCTAAAAAGGAATTAAAATTTATTTCTTTGCTCAAAATGGATGGAAATATAGTAATGGTAAATTATTAAAGTGAATTTCGTATGTGTCACTAAGAGAATTTATAAAAAGTAGACTAATTTTAACAGATTTACTGAGAAGTATGAAATGGTTTTGTATAAAAAAAATTGCCATTATTATCCCTGGTGCTTCTTGTAAAATGAATTTTTCATTCATATTATCCTTATGAATAAACTAAATTGCATTAGCAGTAGCTTCTTTATAGTAGAGACTTAATTTTTGTTTGATTTAGGCTTTTACTTTATTGAAATGTCGTAATATAAAGCACTTACAAATTCTTGTCTTGAAATTTTTTCTTTAAATGTAACAGAATTGCAGTCAGTGAAGGAAATTTAATGAAATCAGCTTTACTTATCATATTTACCAAAATAATAATAATAATGTGTTAGTGTACTCCCATGCTGTGCATGAGCAAAGCCAGTTTTGAAAGACTGAAAATGATCACTTAATGAAACACCCAATACATTGATTTTATAGTACTTAAAGCTTATTTTTGCATAGCTAATTGTCTAATTAATGGGCAGAAGATCCATCATTGTATTGGAAATTCTTATAGGAAGAAGTAAACTCTTTCTCGTTTCAAGAGAAAAGTCAGTTCATCCTTTGCTTTTGAAAGGACATTTAACAAGAGGTAAAGGATAGGAAATGCAGATTAGCAAACAAATTTTGACTTTCTTTAAAAATATTATTTTCCTAACTTTGATATAAATATAGATCCATAATTTATTTTGGCATTGCTCCAAACTAAATTTTATTTTTCTGTTGTAAAACTGAAAATTTCTTTAAAATGAGAATATGTTTATTATAAATTTAAAAAATCTAATAAATTTATTTAGAATTGTGTGATTTATTCTTTTGATTCTGATATAATTTCTTGTTTTGTAGAAATTTATTTTCTTGTGTGAATTTTTTTTTAATAAGAAAGATACTATCATTTCACATTTTCTATAAATTGCTTATGATTATAAATATTCTTTTAAAAATAAATGCTCAGTTAAATTTCCTATTTTTTATATTTTTTAATCAGTATTTTTGGTATAAATATCTTCTATTTATTTTCTTTATATTGCTTATTTTAGAATTTTTTTAGTAATGTACGTAGGTAAGTTGAAACATAAGTTTCCCCTGTCGACTGTGTCTGAGTTGTGTATGAAAGTCAAAAAATAGAATGAATCATTAAAGATATGACATACCTTTATTTTATTATTCTCGTACGAGTACGTTGAGACATTTGTCATATCGCTTGATAAGCTTCAAAAAGTCCTCCAAAAAAAAATTCACACTTTGCATATGGAAGAAGCGTTGAACGGCTATGGGCGAAAGGCGACACAGGAAAACGCGCAAGTCACCGATACACCATTGGGTAGAGGTCGCTGCAAATCAAGCAGATGGCACTGTTGCAGTGCCTGCACAAAGCGGAGACCAGCCTCTCATTTGAGCCCCGGTAGGTATGGAGAGAAGGTGCATTTTGAATTCATGGTCAAAGGAGGAAGTGAGAGCGGTTATCCGCTATGAATGGGCACGTGGAGTATCAGGAACAGAAATTCATAACCGCCTCGTGGAAGTCTATGGGCCAGGTGTGATGTCGAAGCAAATGGTGCAGAGATGGTGTCGCACATTCAGTGATGGACGTCAGCAAGTGGAGGACATACCGAGAGCTGGACGGACGCGCACGGCCACTACAGATGCAAATGTCGGGAAGGTGGATAACATGATTAGAGCGAACCGGCGTATCACCATCGATGAAGTAGCGGAAGAACTTGGAATCTCACATGAGCGAGCTCAAAACGTCATTCACGACATTCTTCGATACAGAAAAGTGTCAGCACGATGGGTGCCCCGACAATTGACCTCGACATACAAGGAACAACACATGGGGGTCAGCCTGGAACATCTCGTACGTTACCATGAAGATGGTAATGACTTTCTGTTTCGGATTGTGACGGGGGATGAAACGTGGGTCCACCATTTCACGCCAGAATCGAAGGTTGCATCTATGGAGTGGAAACATCCTTCATCACCTGTCCGAAAGAAGTTCAAGACAACTCCCTCTGCAGGTAAAGTGCTCCTCACAGTTTTCTGGGACGCCCAAGGAGTTTTGTTGCTGGACTTTTTGGAGGTTCTGTGGCACCCTGTCGAAATTGAAAGAGGCGATTCGGCAAAAGCGGCCTGGCCTTCTCGCATCTGGCGTTCTGCTGTTGGATGACAATGCCAGACCACATTTAGCGATGGCAACGCAAAACCATATTGCAACTCTTGGTTGGGAATGCCTACACCATCTGCCATACACTCCTGATCTCACACCAAGCGACTTCCATCTGTTTCCGGCTTTGAAGAAAAATCTTGGGGGAAGGCGCTTTGGAAGCAATACTGAAGTGAAACAAGCCGTTCAACGCTTCTTCCATATGCAAAGCCCCGATTTTTTCCTGGAGGGCTTTTTGAAGCTTATCAAGCGATATAACAAATGTCTCAATGTACTTGGTACCTATGTGGAAAAATAAAGGTATGTCATATTTTTAATCTCATTTTATTTTTTGACTTTCATACACAACTCTGACCACAGTCGACAGGGAAAACTTATTTTTCAACTTTTTCTCGTATGTATGTAATTAAAAGATTTGCTAACATAGGATTCTGAGTTTAGGTATTATTATTGAATAAGGAAAATAAAGCAAAATTAATTTTGTATTCATTTTTTTTTAAAAACAACCTGTATAGGGTTTACGCATGAATCAGATGAAGGCATCAAAAAGATAATTTGATTAGCTGTGAGAATTTCTATATTTTAAAACTAGATGTGAATGCATTCAATCAGTGATGGGATTATGTACTTTTCTAAGAAAACAATTTATATAATTTGTTTACCGCTCTTCCATATAATAGTAATTTGTCACTCTAATATGATTATTAATGCTATGAGACATTCCTTTTATTCATATTTTTTTTAATTCTAGTTTAACTAATTATAAATATTACTTCAATATGCATGTTGCAGATGTGATCTCTATGAATGCCTATGCTAAAGATGTACGTTGTGTGTCTTTGCTGTGTAAAAATCATTGAATTTATTGCCATTACTAATGTTATTTGTAAATTTGTAATGTAATTGCATAATTAAAAGAGAATTTCTGATGAAGTATGGTAATTATAGCGTATTATGAAGTCTGAAGTGTTTTTGTTTCAGAAGATGTGAATTTTCTCTTCATAATTTCTTCCACTTGAATTCATGATCTTGTAAGTGCAAAGCTTTGTTAATGAGAATAAAGCAGTGGAACATATTAAATGATGTTTTTATAAGTTATTGAGTGCTAATCATATGTTACCATAAAACTTCGGTGAAGATCATATATTGCCGACTTGAGTGTTCATAACATGAGATATCATTCATCATCTGAAGCATTTTTTGTTTATATAATTTGTTTGTGAATTGAATTATTGATGAAGGGAGGCATTCTTGATATATGATTCAATTGTATATGGTCCCTCCTCACCTGGGAGATCCTGAAAAGGCTGGGAAAATATAAAATTATTTTTTCAAAATATCTGGGAAATTTGGAAATTTTCCTAAAATAATAGAGAAGTTGAAAAAAAGTAGAGATTAAAGCTTTCAAATAATAATTAGTTTGTGGTTTAAGTAGTACCAGTAATTAAAAGTTGTGCTCTTAAAATTAAAGCAAGTGAAGAATTAGAATTGTTGTTCATGTGATAATTGTAATGAAATAACAATAGGAGGTGTACCTAATGTTGATGAAAATATATTTTTTTAGAGCATCACAGTAATGATATGTGATTTTTTGTAAGCAACCTTGTACAATGTAAAGAAAAGAAATGAAAAATAAAAAAGTATCTAGAAAAAGGAAATAAAATGCTGCTCGAAAGTTACAGAATTGAAGTAAAAATTTTTATAAAAAGATGTAAAAAATCATCAAGGCATTATATACTCTTTTCTACTCTGTCTTCTAATATTTTAGCAAAAATAAATAGTATAATTTGGAACTTACCATTTTATATGGGTGTATGTTACCATAAATTACTATATTTATGAAATGTATTTTTCAAGCCGGCATATTTTTGTGTTTATATTACTTTGAAACTCCATAGAAATATTATGAATCACCATTATACTTTGATCAGTTCTGTTTGCAAGAACAGTCTCTGAAGAGTTGATTTTTTTAAACCCTTCTTACTTGCTTCATAATTTTTATATTATTAGTTTTTCTTTTGTATGTTCTGTACTAAATGCATAATTTTTTTGAATTATTTATATGTAATTTGATCATTACTTATTATATCATGGAAAATCGGGGAAAATGAAAGCTAAATGTTAGTGGGAACCTTGTACAACATCATTTATGCATTTACATTTGATAATCTTATAATTTTTTTTATTTAGATATTTGTCATCAAATCAAGCATGTTTTTATGTTTTTAAGTCTCATAAATTTTCTATTTTAACTGCTTTTATGCTGTTAATTACTTTTTCCAATATGTTTTATTTATTTATTTATTTATGTTATATTTAATTTTGTTGCTTCTTTTTCCTTTTTATTTATTTATTTTTTCAATATATTCTTTCTTAAAAGTATCTTCTGTTATAGTTTCTAATCCGTGTAGGCAACATCAGTCTTTTGAAGGAAACACAGCTATAGAGCATTTTGAAGTGATCAGGAAATCACATTTGGCAGCAAATCTTCCTGTGAGACTCTTTGTTTGTGGATTTTGTATGAAACAGTTTCAGCATGAAGTTCATCTGGAACAACATCTCTGTATCCATATTGGTGACAAACCTTTTAAATGTAAAAACTGTTCAGAGAACTTCAAACATAAAGAGGCCCTTAACTATCATATGTTGACAAGTCATCAGATGTACCGTTGAATGAATTAGTTCTGTTTTATAATTTCTTACCCTTTTTATGGTACATTTATGGTATTTTCTTATCGGTTTTTAGGGTTCATATTTTCTGATTTTTCTTAAGTTTCTTGTGTTGTATTTCTTAATGTAACAAATTTATTAACTGGGGCTGTTATTGCATTAATAGGTAAGCAAGATGTATGCTGTGTGAGTAGTTAAGAAAAAGAGATAACCTGTTGTATTTTTGTGATTTTTATATGAATGACAACATGCAAGAATTGTAAATGCGAATTAAATGTATTTGTTACTGCTTCCTTATATTTTCTGTTATTCATTTCGTATGTTTAAAGGTATGCTACTAAGTTTGAATGTAATAAATGACTTGCAAATTATGAATGTTTTGTTTCCTTCTCATTTATTATTTTGTCTAAAAACTCCTTTTTAAGTTTTTGCTTGAAAGTATACTTTTTCAAACATTTGCCATCTTTTCTCAATTGCCACTATTACTCCCTTTGTGATTATAAATAGTAAAAGCTTTAAGTACGCTACAGTGGAACCTCATAATCCTTTCCCTTAGAACATTCGATTTTTCTGAAGAATGTGCTTGTATTGTATTTTGCTGTAGAGGGTTACAAAACAAATATCAATTAACATAATTTTATACAAAGTTTCCATAAAATTGGGCTTATCCAACATTTTTCAATAAAGGCTTTACTCAGCATTATGGCATGAAAAAAATATTTCACAGGACTTTGCAAATGGCTTTCATTTGGCAGTTGCAGCTTTGCTTGAATAACTATTTTTAAAGCAAAAGGAAAGTCAAACAACTTTGTTTTCAATGGTAATTTTTTTCTGAAAATAGCTCAAGTTTCAGTTTAAATCAACAGAAACTAAAATAAAGGGGGGGGATTAAATTTGTAAGGTGCAATGTAGTGTTTAAAATAGGGGGAGAAATGGTGAGATGCACTTTAATGTTTAAACGAGGGGAGGCGTATTTCTTAAAGGCAACTTAAACATCAGAGTGGGGGGGGGAGATGTAGAATTCAGATTTATGTCAAGTTGGAAAAGTCAAATTTGCTTTAGCTAAGGGTACTTACGTATTATCACAACCAGGTTGGCACGATTTGTAAGTTTGAGTAAAAAAAGTATGAATAGAAAGAAAATGTACATTTATTAGTTGCAGATAATTTTTAATACAGTTTTTTATATTATTTTGTTTTAAAATATAAAATAGCAATTAAACCCTTCCGGTTTCGAATTTGAATAAGTTGCAGAATTATTTTTTCGGCGGAAATCTTTTGGCTATTGCTTTTAGCACTGATTGAAAACCGTCTTCGCCATTAACAGCTTGAGCTTGGCGCCATATAAATTCGATAAGGTATGAGTCAAGATGATGACGGGCTGTTCCTCTCTGTTTTTTGTTGCGCCATTTGGCTGAGCCCCACATGCGCTCTACATGTTGTGTGTGAACGCCCGTGTTGGGATCCACAAAGTTATATTTGTGATTAACAGTTCTATGCAGAAATCCAGCATTTTCTAACTCACTTGTATTGTAATCCTTTCCAGCAATCCGAATAAATGATGCTTCCTTCCTTGACATTTTTGCAAATTTTTTCCATGAGGGTAACGGTGCTTCTGTTAGGTACAGTAACCAAAAAAGTCTCTTTCTTTTCTCGGCAAATTCCGCCGAAAACCCATTGCTGTGGTAGTACACGCCTCATAACACATAGGGTTGCCATAAGTAGGGTCGCCAAATTTGGCGATTTATGCGAATTTTGGCCTGGTTGCGTTAATACGTAAGTACCTAGCTAAGTATGTTTGTGAATATGAGATTCCTGTGTCAAGCATATTTTCAAAGAAAGGCATGGCTTTGCTATCTGATTTTACATGAGTGCTATTTTGACTTCAGACATTCTTCAAACTGTTAAGCATTTCTGCTGCTAGAGACTTCTTATGTTAGAAATGCTTAACAGTTTCACATGTTCAAAAGTTTGTAACAGTCTACCTCCCCCCAAATTGTATTGAGAACGGTAATATCAATATTATGATACTAGATAAATGATAGATTCTTCTTGGCATATTTTATCACAGAAATCACATTTAGGAATTGCTGTCTACCTGAAGAAATGTCTTTCCATGTTCAAACAGACAGTTATTGACAAAATTTTAAAAATAAACATTCAGAACTTAAACAGAAACCGACAATTGATCTTCCTGTTGTAAGAATGTGGAAATTCTGTTGCAGAAGATAATGAGATACTCCATCCTACAGAGAAACTGCTGAAGGCATGAATATAATTCTCTGAGTTCAAAATAGCAGGAAAGCATTTTTTAAACATCTTAACAATGTCGTTATTTTATATTCAATGAAAAAGTATAAACAACTGTTAACAATTTTTTAAAACATATCAGAAATAATCTTTATTGTGAACAGTTGTCAATATATTTATAGTAAATATTGATACATATTTCACTTAAATTAAAGTTAACTTTAATGTTGTCAATTGTGCTGTATATTTGTCATAAAATGGAACCAATGTTTTTGCATATACTACATATTATTTCAAAACTTAATCTACCTTACAGTAAGTGTTCTGTCATGTTCATTTGCAGTGATGAGAATAATCGAGTTTTGTGCAGTTTGGTGGTCTAAAGTTGTCGAACCATCATATTTATGACACAGGAGCAGTAGAATTATTGAAAATGGCAGAATGGTTATAAGATATTGATCAGACTCACTGTGCATGCAAAGGAGAGACATTTTGTAGCTGTATTGTTATGATGGTTTAGACATGGGCCAGCTTGTATGCGCCAAAACTGAAATGCTAATTGAACAAGTGACATTATGCTTCACAATGAAAATCTAAAGAACGTCAGCAGTTGAATTTATGATGATGGCCAGCCATGATGACATTGTATTAGCACATACTGTACCTCAGATAGACTGTCAGCATGTAGTACCATCTTTTTTTAAAGCATAGCGTCCTAGCATTGTTGCAAAAGAAGCAGAAAAAGTTTGTATAAAATTCACCTATCATTTAGCAAAACTGTGCTCAAAGTACATGTGGTGTAACCTGTAACTGATGTATTTACTCAGAAGAGCTGACAAGTGCTGTGCCATCCACTGCATTCCCTGGATTCAAGGCATCAATTCGTAAAATGAATTTTTCATTTTGTGGCATTCATTTTTGAACTTTCCAGAGATTCTTCAGGCAATAGACTACATTCAAATCATCGTCAGAAAGTATATCGTAACTTTCACACTGCTGGCAGTGATTTCTACTGATTGCTATTGATAACCACAAAGGATAAGAAAAGTCTTCACTTGGGTATCTTTTTAACATTTGTACTTGGGCTATAGAGATTAATTGTTTATGTATTGAAGCCATTTAATCAACTTTTCAGTGAGCAAGGGGGAGGGGGGAATCCACAGGTTGCAATTTCCTGTTCTGTATAGAGTAACAAATTTTGAATCTTAAAAAACTAGTTTTTTAGCCATACTTAATGTAGTGAGTACATGGCACATGTATGTCCCAGCCCCCAGGAAAAAATGTCGACTAAAAATTAATAATTATTACCATTATATGTGCAGCTCTCATGTTAGAATAAACAAAATAACTAAAGTAAATTATATTTTTATCTTTAACCCTCTGAGCAGTGAGGGTTTTGGGATCCATCATGAAGACTTATATTTAAACAGCATTTATTAGCTAAATTTGTGTGATTGTTTATTTTACTCTCTAATTTCATAAACTTACATTTATTAAAATGGCATTTACATTATTAAAGAAAGCAAAATATCTTATATTATAAGCTAATAATGTACCAGGTGACAAAAAATCTAATGATTGGATAAAGCTGGTCATGCTGTTCAGAGGGTTAATTATCTGCATAAATGAATTATTTAACTATTTATAAAAATGTCTTATCCAATTGTGTGCCATATTACTAAGATTTTGCCCTGCTTCTAAAAACGAGTTTCAAGATGTGTCGCATTATATCAGTTCCCATTATTATAAAAATTTCAGTATATTAGTTGAATCGTATATTTTTCTTTTTTGTTACCAATCTATTTCATAGTATTGCTTATTTATTAACCTTTACTTGTGATTTATTTAAATAAGTAGTTTTGATTGGATTCCAAATTTAGTTGTTTCCATTAATAGAAACAAAATTCGTTTCTCATTTATTGTTTTTTTAAATTCATCTTGACTGAAAATTCCTCTGATTTTATTCTGTTGTGCTTGACTAAAATAATGCTACTAAAATCATTAAACAAACAATTTGATCACCTTCCCTTGAGAATTTAGTTTTGAAATGGACATATCTAGATCCAGTCATAGCTAAAACATTTTAGTATTTTGCTAGGGTTAAAGTTGAATATATTTTTTTAAAATTTTCTTCATAGATATATATTTATTTACCTTTTTTAATGTAAAAGTATCCATAATTCTTTCATTTAAGTCATAACTTTTCCCATACAAATTACATTTGTATCATTAGAACAGTCATAAATATTATAGATACTAATAATTGCTATAAATATTTATGCAAATGTGTAATGGGTAGATGATAATCATTATAATTGATAATGTATTATGGATACATGTGATCAATAAATATTACTAAATTTGTGCTCATTGTAATTAAAGGGAAATTGAAAATTATTAAACCAGTTTTAATCTATCAAAAACTGGTTATAGCTGAAGCATACCAGTTTTTTAAAAAAGATTAATTACTTCATATTTGAAGATTTCATGTTATTTGCAATATTGATGCTCATTATTTCATGGCTGTTATGTATTTTAATTTTTGTTTTTCATGTAATGATTTGTATTTATTTATTCTCCTTTCAGCTTTGTTTTCACATCAAAAGAATGAGCCACCTAAGAGTCATTTTCGGAATGTAAAGTATGCAGCTAATGATTTTTCAAAGGATAAAATCAAAAATCCAAAACGTTTGGTTTGTCATTTTTGTAACAAAGGATTTAAACAGAAGTGCAATTTGCAGCAGCATCTTCGTCTACATACTGGCGAGAAACCATTCAAATGTTATATTTGTTCTCGTTGCTTCACACGCAATGAATCTTTAAAATATCATGTTTTCAATTCTCATAGTAATCAAGTTTAGACTGTGTACTATGATAGCTGTGTCAAGTATAGTGTAGCAAATATGTCAGTATGTTGTTATAACATGTTTTATTCTGCCATTTTTACTTCCTTGTACAAAGTAAAGGATGTATCGTAATTGCAAAAAATTTTCAGGTATCATATTTTAATGAAAGTATCCATTTTGACATCTATTAAATACAATTTAGTGGTGTTTTTGTGACATCTGTACATAAGAACAGAAAAAAGGACTCTTTTTCTCAAAACGGATTGCAAAACGATTTAAAGTAAATTCAACAGAGATTTTTTTTGTGGCATCTGTACATACATAAATATCTCCTGTAACTCAAAAATGAGTAGCCTCAGAATGTTGAATTTTTGTATTAAATAGAACCTATAATTTGTAGTTGTACACTTTCCTTTTTGGTTACAATCGGCCATACAAAAAGTATAATTAATAAATATATGTACTCGCTCTGCTACTCAGCTCTGTGAGCTCAGTTTTTTTTTATATTGTTATGTGTTGGTAAGTTGTGTATTTTTCGCCTTCAAAATGGTTTAATTATATTGTTCTTATCTTCCAGTTATAGACTTTATCTCTTTAGTTATGTGACAAGATCGCATAGTTCTTCTTTGTCTGGTTCTCCGAATACAATGGTACCTCTTTCACACCAGAGGAGAAATCCTGTTGTGACCAGGTCCCTTTGTTAATTATTATAGTTGCAACCTTGAAGGTCACTTCAATGGTTCACAAGAGAAGAGAAGTGTTTCACCGACGTCGGAATATGGACATTTTTGTTACAAATTACGGGACTGAATGTATCCCACTTTGACATCAACCAAAATTGTTAAAGTTGTTTTTATTGAAATTCATGTTAGTGTTAGAAGTTTATTTCAACCCAGGATTACATCAAGAGCTCTAGGTAGCAGGACTCGTCTGCTACACCACAGCAGTAATATTGTAATTGGTGGCAGTATTTAGAGATTATTCCTGAAAATGAATTTAGGAACGAACATCTCGCCTTTGGACTTAGCTATTGTAGTATCTTGTTTTCCGTACATCTTGTTGTGTGAGTGCTTTGGATCGACGAAGGGAAGTTTCAATAAAGTTAGTGTTGTAAAGGACTTTATGTGAGTAATCAAAAGACATTTTCTCTTCTGCACAAGAATGGTCCAATTTTGCATGCACAGACAGTTCGCTTGGTAAGGCCTCTTCAGAAAAGTGATCATGTGTCAGAAGAAAACGCCGAAGGAAGTGTGATCTGGTGCCGCAGTGAAGTTTTCTCGCAAGTGATATCCATACCCAAGTTGGTACCAGTATTAAAGGAATCTTCAAATTGGTGAGTACCATTTTTTTTTTAAATTTTAGAGACGTTATGCCAGTTATTCGAGACTAGGTTGCTTTTGTGTATAGTTCTATTATTGGGGATTAAACCTTTTCTTGTCATTAAATCTGTGCTAATTGAATCTTTGCTAATTGTTTTTTCTATTGTTCTAGTAACAGTGTAAATTGTTTGAAATATTTTAACGGTATGCTTTAGAAGGTGCACCCAAAAAAAGTCACCCAGAAGAAATAATCTCACCAATTGGAGTATGGAAAGCAGCCAAATTCTCATTTAACTAGCAGGGTTTTAGTGAGCTCTTGTAAGGGAGGTGTTAAGCATAAGATGCTGAGCTTGGTCAGCTCAAGGTCATTTGGAAAGGTTTTTCAAGCTGCCTATGGGAAAACTGTATATTCTCCCCCACTTGTTCTTAAATGGATTCGTTTCTCGTCTTTCTGGAAACAGACCCAGTTTGAGAGCTGGTCCCCCCAACCCGGAAAAAAAGACAAAGGGGCTCTAATATATTAATGATTACCGGCTGTGAAACTAAATGATTTTATCCATCCTTGACTAACAACTTGTTCACAGCATTCAGTTAGATTTAGAACCTTATTTATGTTTCCAATAAAGTGTAGATACATTTCATAAAATAACTGTATTTCATTAATTACCATAATGAATCAGTTAAAGTATATAAAATTTATTGGATTCTATGAAATAACTAGTTATTTTATAGAATAACGATTGCCTGATCATTATAAAAAATTAGTAAAGACCCTTCATTATTAGAAAATAATCTTTAATAAAGATGTCACGCAAAAGCTGCTTTATTGCGTTTTTACTATTAATGAGTTCAATGAATTCATCTGCAAATAGTTCAGCAGCTTCAATATCAGCTGAAGCTTCTTCATCTGAAATTTTTGATTGCCTTATACTGAGCAATTTTAAAATTTGGTTGGCCAATCTGTTGAACATGTGCACTCAGTTTTTAAATTCGTTTCTTCATGAAATGTTTTGGTTTGAGCCATTAGCATTGGATCTGTTAATTGCATGCCCTTGCTGCGATGCTTTTTGACCCATTCAATCATCACTTTTAGCATAACGAATAATTTTACTGTTATTCATTGTGAGTGCAGTGTCGGAATCCACAAAAAATTAATAAAGTTCCTTTTTCTTTTATGTCATATACAATTGACTTTCCAATGCCATACTCCTCACATAATTTTGAGATGGATATACCTATATCCATTTTTTGCAGTAATTCCACTCTTTGTTAACGGATATTGAAACATGGTTTCGCTTTGTAGATCATGTTGCGGCTCCATAATTAGAAACTTTTTTTTGACATAATCAAAAGTTCAAACTCTAATTTTCATAAAATGACTGTGATTATAACATCCTGCAAAAGACAATAAGCTGTATCAAATCAAAAAGTTAAGGAACAGTGCAATCTGCTACATTAAATGAAGTTCTTTGGAATCAGTGACATATAATTTTAGCTTACCTTAATTACTGGCTTATAAGATTGCCGACTAAAGACAAGTTGTTCCGTTAAATTTTATCTTGCTTCTATAATGCATTGAGACAATCAAGCATGAATTCTATTAATTTAGTTATTTATTATACTTATGTCTATTTCTTGCACATGCTTAAATAAATTCCCACATACACTTAAGCTTACTGAGTGCAGGGGCTAGATATTTTGCTACCTGATGCAGTCTCCTGCGGGTCCTAAATTCTGCTACCAAGTGCCTCCGTAAGCTCTAAATTTTTGCTGCTCCTTAATTTTGGGTCCTAGTGCTTTCCCTAAATTCCAGAAATTTTATCATACCTTGATTTTGTTACTCAGTGTTTCTCTAAATTCCAAAAATTTTGTCTTCCCTAAATTCTGCTGCTTGGTATGGACATACGAGCTCTGGTGTCGATTCTGGGTTTATATAAATAAAAAATCTGTAATTCTTAATTCAAATAGCACTAAATGTAATCTTTTGACCTATGAGTATCATTAACAAAATCTATTTTTAGCACGTGGAAAGAAATTTTTGTTAAATATTTCCTTTTTAACACTTAGTGCATTTAACTTAAATCTGTAATCATTGCCAAGCGTAATGTCAACATCAAAGGTTTCCATATTCTTTGTTACTCAGCTACTAATATAAAAAAATTGTTTGGGCGTCACTGCATGGGTCATTACTCAAGCTGTCATGTGGTGATGAAGGCAAAATATAATAATGATTCGCCATGTTGGCATCAGAGATACAAAATATTAGTAGCGTAAAGTCAATGATGTTTCTGTGTAGAATGTTTCAGTTTGAGATGAATGCCAAGCAGTTACGGAGCCAAATTATTGATCACACAAATTTTTGCTAAAATGGTTGTCTCTTGAAAAACAGGGTATTTTATTTAGTGAAGTGAAATTAAGAATCGTAACTCTCTGCATGTTATATTGTGGAAGGAAAAAAAATCAAGTGCACATGCGTAAAGCATACAGAAAAAAAAAAAAAAAAAATGGTGGCATTGAGGTCTGGATTTTAGATTATTCCGGATATTGGACATCTGGATCTCGAACTTTGTACTGTATTGCATCATTAATAACGTCAACTGTTATGTCAGGATTCATGATGCGAAATTTAGCTGAAAATATTCTAGTCATATTTAATGCTAAACTTTATTTCAGTTATAAAGCATTATTTGTGTCAGTTCTTAATAATCGATGAAATAAATCCCAGCAAGTAGATTTCATAGTGCTGACCTTATTTTTATACAAAGTGAATTAAATATGAATACGTAGCATTGTAGAGTCAATAGTTAAAAGATACAATTTACAAATAAGTGCGCGCCAGCCCATGAATTAATTAAATAATATTCTTAGAAAGTCTTGATTCTAAGAAATTACAAACAGAAGAGAAATATTTCCAAAAAATCAAATTTCGAGTTATTCTTAAAATATTTTTTACAATGATATTTACTAGGTAGAGCCATTTGATGAATGTTGCTTATTATTAATAAATCATAATTTAGAGGAACTGGATTAGAATTTTACTTTTCCTTTCCATCAATATCATTCTGCCTTCAACTTATGCTATGGGGTGATCATAATAGTATTTAGTCTGGGGAGAAGCAATGAAAAAAAGTCTTACTAGCAAAAAAAAAAAAAAAAAAAAAAAAGACTACACCCCTTAGAATAATTAGCACTATCTCTATGGTCTCTCATTTTTCAATGTTCAATAATATAATTTTTATAGTATAAAAGATTAAGGGCGTTAGAGATAATTAATTTCAAAGCATTTTTAAATATTCGAATACTTGTACAAGACGACTGTGATTTTCAGAAAGACATTTTTAAAGCAAAAGAAACACTTATCAAATAATCGCATGCCTCTTTAATTTATAAGCCTTATGGGTAATCTAATCAGAAAGCATCGAAATATCTTCATAGTTAAAGTTTCTACATGCCTTGTATTAACAAAGCTGTAGTGTAATTGTATTTTTTCTTTTTATCTTTTAAGTAAATCATAAATGGTTTTTAAAAGACATATCTACTTCAGAAGTAGTGATATTTTTAACCCTTAGAATAATTCATAAAATAGTTTTAAGTTTTTATTTCGCCCAAAGGGGCAATTTGCCCAAAAGGGCTATTAATTTCATTTTGGCATTTTGTGTTGGTTACCTATAAATGTCTGTTCACTTTTCAAATTATTGCCACCAAATGTTAGAGCCCTGCATTATATTTAAAGAAGTTAAATAACAAAGAATCTGCATGAATGTATGTATCTTTTTTGAATTGTGAGAAAACAACAATACATAGAGACATCAGATTTTGAATAACGTAGCCCTCCATTCAAATATGGACATCTGGAAGCCCAAATTTGGAATTTGTTTTATTAGCTATTTTATATGTTGTCAAATGTTAAAGAATTTTTGATTAACAAATTCAGTCAATGATTTCAAAGTGAGCAATGGCAACACTGTACCAAAAAACTTTTTTTTTATTTGCAGCATGTGAGACTATGTATCGGATATTTTAAAAATATACTCTTTTAAATATTTTGTGATATTATTGTTAAATGGAATTTTATGGTTTAAGTGCGAAGAACATAATATTTAATAAGTAAAGACACAAAACAGTAAAAAAATGCCCCTTTGGGCATAATACAAAATCTGGAGGCTTTTATAGTTATATTTTGTGAAAATATTCTTAAACTTTTGAAAAGAATGAAATTTCCTTCATTTCCAAATGATTATGAGATGGATTTTTATTTAATGTTTTTAACATTAAAACAGGAAAAATCTAAAATAGCTGAAACATAGACACCTTGAAAAAAATTTGGGAGTAAAAAATTATATTAATGAAAGTAAAATTTTCATAGCATATAAGTTTAGTATTTTAGCAAAAAATTACAAAAAATATATCATTATACTTTGCATACAGCCACTTTACTGAGATCTTTATTTTTATTTCACTAGTAATATATAAATTTCATGTTTAATTTCCTATTTATCTGTTTCAGTATTTTCTGATTTAACAAATTTTGTCTCAAATCTCAGATGATGCATTAATTCTAGATTCAACAGCAGTTACTGTCACAGAACATATATGAAACTAACAATATGCTGTCAATTTTGTGTGAAGGCTTTTTATATAAAATTAATTTCTCAGATTTTCTACATTTATAAAGTTTTGTAAAAAGAGCATTCATTCTGGAACCTGACTTGATGAATGTGAAGTAATAATACTACATAAGTTAAAATTTTAATAGTGACAGCATACTGAGCTATTACAGTTGGCTTATTGTAGGAACCATAGCCTTCATATCCAGCAATGCAATCATTACCATAGTCTTCATATCCAATGATGCAATCATTTTGCTTATGATTTGATAAGCTTTAAAAATAATTTCACTGAAGGATATGATACAATACCTGTCATAGCTTTTCACTTTATTGGCATCTAACTTTACGGCTCTTAAGCCCAGTGTGATGACTTCGTGGTTTAACAAGGCACCATTTAGCAAGAC